TATACAGTAAAATATATTATATTATATTTTATATAATTAGCTCTTTTTAAAAACATTAATTAATTCTTATTAACTCTTTCCTAAATTTTCTTTTGTCCCGTTTCTTGCTAAGTGGTATCGATTGCACGATCCATTAATTTGTAATTTTCTTATATCCAATATAAACGAAGGAGCACCGCTCCCTTGTGCTTCTTCGGTAACTAAGCGTAATCCATTTCTTAACAAGTCAAGACGTGTGTCGTACAAATCGCCTTTTATACAAACTTGAGATATAACGCAGAATATTAACGACATAACGGCAATTTTCTCGCCGAAGATGGTTAAATAAAACATTGTATGGCATTTGTAATCCTTTCGCGAGTATATCTCTGCCGTTACGAAACTTATAAACATAACTGGAATAATACAATTGTCAATGTAAATTCAGTGTGCCTATATGTATCAGTATATATATTCCATTATTTGTTTTCTACGCTACAACTTGCGCCTGAGTACATCATGATGTAACATTGCTTAGATTTACAGCGAGTAGCAACTATGTACATTGTATTTCCAGTACTGGATACCGAATCGCATCTCCTTCTAGTATATACAGGCAGTTAACGACACACAAGCCGTTTACAAATCTCCAGCGAAATTGATATTACAATTTTACGTAGGCAGCGAATTTCCATTGTCACATTTATTAAAAGTTAAAATGGCGGGGATCAAAATAACATAATGCTCGATCTGGCCAGAATCGGTTTTATATCAATAAGCTGATAATATACAGGATGTTCAAGTTTCTTAAAATTTTTGTACGTTCAATGATTAGATGGTTATTTCTGCAAACCTCCTTTGTGTCATTTCGAAGAAATTATCTTAGATTTGAAATAAAAATACATTATTCATGTACGTCCAAGACAGCGACATTGCCCCTCCTTTCCTTCGCCGCTCGTTTCGTTTTCAGTGCATTCATCACTTGTCGTTTCCGAGCCACTTGGTAGTAGTGCGATACGACTCTTATTTAATTATCGTCGAAAGATCGATGCATCCTTTGGTATCTGAATTGTTCCTCTTATATCCGTATGTATCACGATGTTCCCTGGTTCCGTGGCCGCTTCATATCCGTCGTTGCAAGCATCTCACCGTTATGACGAGCACCACGACGAGAGTCGCTACGAAAGCGAAGGACGACGAGGGCGTGGTAATTTTACGTTCATGCCTCGCACGACACTATGGACTTCCCGTATCGTGGTGAAACGAGTCACTGTCACTCTCGACGTAGGTCACGTAGCTGTCGGTGCTGTCAGGATGCTGGCTCATGTCCGGCCCGCCACCACCTGGATGATGAGGCCCCGGGGGAGGTAACGGTCCACCTCCACCGTCGCTCATGGGTCCGCCAAGCATCCCTGGCGGGGGTGCCAACTGCGGTGGTGGTCCCCCATGCAAGTCATAGCCGTGCATCTGCAATTATTGCAACAACACTTGACTTTTCCGAGTAAGGACAATTCCTGGCATTCTTCTATGAATATACTGTGGCTACCAAAAATAATTTCCAGCCAATTAAGTAATTTTATTAGGGGAGAATGTTCTAAATCAGATCGTGTTCTACATCGAACCTTTTTAATTTAAATAAATACGGTTTAGCATATTTGCGTACTATTTATGTAAAATCCTTATAAGACACCGAACATGTGACAATAGTTTGACAGTACTCTATCATAATGTTCATAGAATAGACGCAAATATGTATTTTCGGCTATCATGCGAAAGTTTTTTTAAAAATAAAAATCCTTGAATAAAGAACTAATATGCAAATACTGAAATATATCGTGTCCTTAAAATTAATATAAGAATTATATTAATGTATGATATAAACTGAAAAATATATTGATAAAAAAATATACCGTAGAATTATCTAGGCTAGAACCTTTTCTTTTATAGCAGTCACTGTTAATCATTCTCGTGCAATCGAGTCTAGTTATATTTGTAGAAAGGTATTTTCTTTCAAAAAATCTTGCTTCTATTCTGGCGAAAATAAAGATTGAGGTTTCCTTATATTGGAGAAATCCAATATAAGGAAAAGTGACGGAAGCGTAAACGAAACTACTAGAAATCGAAAATTGAGACAACAAAACGTAAAAGAAGAATAAACGTCTCTTTTATATTTTGTTGTTTTAATTTTCGTTTGCGTTCTAGATGCTTCGTTTACGCTTCTGTCACTCTCCTCTGACATTCGATTTATTCGCTTCGGTTTTTATTTCCGTCAGGGCGAAAGCCGTTATTCGATGATATTTCGCAGAAACAAGGAGATACATGTTTTGAATATAGTTACCTGAGACACCAAATGGTGGAACGACGGTGCATTAGGATCCAGTCGTTCCAAGTCTGTATGAAGGGCAAACTCCGAAAGCGCTTTCCACGGTGGCTGATAAGCTTGAACTTCCAGAGGCGTCATGCCGATAGGACTCTCATGTCTCACGGGGCTGCTGGCAACCATGGGTATGCCATGCATGCCACCGAAGCCCAATTTACGCCCGTCCTGAAATAAAAAGCGCTTGGTTCCATTAGATCATTCATCGAAATATCATGTTATACATGATGATTTATTCCAAACGTTTATTTCAAATATCTAGAATAAAGGTATTAAAAGATATATTTCAAACAAAAGTCGTTTCATTTTGAAAGATACAAAAGTTATATCACTCTATTTGTTCTTAAATGTTGATGCGAATATCATGTTACTTTGAAATTTTTAATTAGAAACTATCGTTTTTATTGCATATTTCTGTACTGATCAAGATATTTTCAAAATATCTACTTTTAAATTCCATTTGAGTGGAAACTTTTAAAAGCTGTCCAAGTTTAAGGGTACATACGATATTTAAAACGCCCTACTTAAATTATCTTAAAAGAAAAATTATAGAAAAATGTTAAATTGTTTTTAAAAAACTTATTAAGGGAGTTTTAAAGTCGTCTATTTTATCAACTGAATATGTTTTGCATTTCCTTTTGTATTATCAAATATTGATCATATTTATAACTTTTTGGTAAAACTTTCCCTTTACACAGTCAGCCTCAAATGACTTCTGAATGACCTTGACCTTGATCTTGACCCTCAAGAAGGTCAAGGTCATTGACCGTTCCCGTCGCTCGTTATTCATTGAAAAGTATTAACAAAAAAAAGTTTTAAATAACGTACTATTTCTGCTATACATATACGATATTAAGTATTATTCTACACCTTCCCCTGTTTAGAAATGTTAAACTTTCCACGCGAAGCAACTCTCACTCCCCTCCCCCTGCAAGAGACGCACATCTATGATTGTACTGTTGCACATAGGTTTCGACTTTCCATGCGAAGCGAGAGCTATCTCACACCAACAAATGGAATGGGTTAGGTTATTTGTAACAGTAGTGAAACCCCCCGCAGGGGGGGGGGGGG